CCATCTCCTTGTTGGCCTTGCGCTGAGAATCCCCGACCTCCGCCAAACTTTCCCGCGACTATGAGCGCGCACTCGCCCTGTACGACGTGCCCAGATGCGCCCACTCTTGCACGGCATGGCGCTTCCCCCCCAGGGGCCAGTCTGGGGCGGCTGTACTCCTTCGCGTGCTGCTCCTTGGACGACCCGGTACACCCGCCCCCTCCATCAGGCGTTGCGTAATGGGGGGGTCATAAATGGGGGGGTGGCGAGGGTGGTTCGAAAGGGTACCCAAACGGTGCCTAAACGAGCCCCCTGGGGCTCTGGAGGGGCCCGAAAGGGGCACGAAAGGGGACCGTTTCTTAACCCCCCATTTATGACCCCCCCATTAAGCCACGCCCAATCAGGGCAGCGGCCCCGCTGGAGCTCCAGCGCCGCCTCGGCCGCGGCCTGCTCTCCCAGCTGCGCCCTCTCGCGGGAAATACCTAGCCCTGGCTCCGGGGCTCCCCACGGCGCCGTGGTCTCGTTGTGCTCGAGCACGCCCCGCCGCCGCCCGCGGCCGCCATCGGGTGAGTCCCGAGTGCCCGACGCGGCGGCCTCTGCCGCGCCATACGAGGCGAACGGTGCCACCGCCGCGGCATTTTCCCGCCCACGGCGGCGGAGATGCATCCGTGTCCACAGCTCCTCGATGCCTCGGAGACCCCTTTGGGGCGACTCCGAGGCGGTGGGTCTGGATGAGCCCTGGCGGCGCTGCAGGAGGTCGAAGGACGCGAAGGTCCTGCCCGTGCCGATCCTCGGTGCAGGACCCTTGTCCAGCCACAAGGGCGCAGGCACCGAGCCTGTGCCCATGAGTGGCCTGGCCAGATCGGTGTAGGTGTACTGGTTGCGATCTCGAGGAGCTCCAGACGTCCCTTTTCACGGGGAGAGTCGAGGCGATCGGTGTTACATGTGCTGGGTCTCCGGAGACTCGTTCCGGGCTGTCGCGCTGTAAAAAAACGCCCCCGCCGTGCACGTCTTTGAAAATCACGGATCGAGCAGGCTCGAGAAAAGCAGCAGAAAGATGGGGTCTATAGGGCTCCGGTCATGATTTGTCACGATGTTGCATGTGTTGATGTAGCGTCGGATCTGAGGGTCTCCCGGCGGCCCGACCGCCAGCCGCCGTCGGGCAGGCACAGGATGAGGACAACGATCGCTCTCAGGGCGTTCTGGAGCGTTTCGGATCGTTCAGAGGGTACCAG